GCGGCGAGGGCGGGAGCTGGGCGCCGCGCAGCGCCGGCCGCGACGGACGGGCACGCCAGCCAATGGGCGCAGCGCACGCGGTGGGGCTACCGCAACCGACCAATGGCGAGTTGCGCCGTGCCGAGCGCACGAACGTCGGCGGCGTCGCGCAACGCAGATCGGGGCTCGGCCGCGCCGAAGACCCGGGGCGGAGCGCAGAACTGGTGCGGGACTGCGCTTTGGGCCCGGGGCTGCAGGGGCGCGGGCCAAGGTCACGAGTGGGTGCGACGCCCCTCCATCGAGCCCTTGGCGGCCTGCTCCGCTTCCGCGTGAAGGAGACCGACTGGCCAACGGTCGCTGTGTCCTCAGCAACGCGAGCCACTGGGATCGCGAAGCACCTTCCCTTAGGACAGGACCGCGAGCTCGCGCCTTGCTCACTCGGGCCCTGGCGGGGCTGCGGTGGTGTCCTGCTGCCGCGCTCGAAGTCCGGGGGCGCGGGGAGAGGAGCGGGACGCCTGCGTGGGCCGGGAGGAGCTGCCGCCGGCTTAGTGGCCGGCGTGCAGATGACCCCCCCAGCCCGAATTGGAAGGAAGAACAGATACACCTTAAATAAGAGTTTGCGAGTGTCCAAAGGCGCTAGAATAGGCTGGGCTCAAACGGGGCAGGATAAAATGGACCTTCTGGGCAGGTCATGTAGGGTTCAGGATGGGCGTATTTAACAAATACTTGATGTGTTAAAACAGGATAAAAGAAACAAATAATTCATCCCTCTAGTTGTACTATTTGCATATCTGATTTGGTGTGTATGTGACTGATCATTGTACAAAACCCTAATTGAACAACTTTGAATCATATGTATGGCAGGATATCCTAGGTAGAAGAAAATAGTTCAAAGACTCACTTACTGATTTGAGAAATAATCAGTGGTGCTGAGTATGGGAATGAAAGCTTCTCAGTTGAAACACAAACTGGGCATAGTGGCCTGTACTTGTAATCCCGGCGCTCTGGGTGGCTGAGGCAGGAAAATCAAATTTGAGCCCTCCAGTCTCAACAAAAAAAATAGATATTTATAACTAACCAGATGGATCTGGTAACCATACTGTTAAATGAATCAAACACACGTGTAAATATTGCGTTGTCCTTCTAGTGTAAGAAACTAAAAGTGTAAAGAAGAACCAAAATGTATAATAGAAATTGTGGAATGGAAAGAAATTTTTTAAAAAGGGAGGGAAGGAGGAATTAGGGAGTGGCAAAGGAAGGAAGGGAAAAATGAGGAAAGGATAAAATATAAGTAAAGTTTGTAAATAAAGGAGGGGAAGGGGACCGAGGACATGACTCATTGGAATAAGCGCTTCCCTGGCAAGCGCAAGAGCCTGAGTTCAAATCCCCGGTTCTGGAAAAATAAATAAATAAATAAATAAAATTCCTCCTAAAAAAAAGGAGGGGAAGAGAGCTAAGGGAAGAAGAATGGGAACAAAAGGAATCAAGATATATTGTGTACTGGTACAAATTCTCTATGTGTGATCCTTATATCTAAATTGTACCAATAAACTATTTTTTCCAAAATTTTATTGATAAACAGATAGCAATGAGACAGTTTCAAATCAAATCGGAAGTACAGTTTCAACAAATATTACACTGCATATATTTTTCTTAGTGGTTAATTGCTGTACAAATAAACTATTTTTGAGACAGGATCTCATTGTGCAGTTCAGGCTGGCCTTGAGCTCACTATGGAGCCAAGCTGGCCTCAAACTTGTGATCCTCCTGTCTTAGCCTCCTAATAAATGCTGGGATTATAGGCTGCACCACTTCGCTCAGCTTGTACCAATAAATTTAAGACTTTTTGTGTGGTTGGTTTTTTTGGCAGAACTGGGAATTGAACTCAGGCCCTTGCACTTGTGAGGGAAGTGCTTATTCTGAGCCATCTCCCCAGACCCTAAATGTAAGTTTTAAAAAATAATGAGGGAACTAGGGATGTAACAGTGTGAGGGCCTTGGGTTCAGTGCTCAGTACAGAAAATAAAATTTCAAGAACCCACAAGCAAGGGAAAGGCATAGGAGAACTGTTGTGGATTACTCCTGCCTTGTGGGCTCTGCTGAAGGTGATTTGTGCTCTGCTCTGTTGGTGCCTGTACTAGAGCATCACTGCACTGCTTGGGTTTCCAAGGCTTGGCGGCAGTGGTTGCTGGCCCGTGCCTGCAGCGTGGGCTGTGTGCTATAACAAGCATACACAAGTCAACTGAAAATGTTCATCTACATTTCGGAGCATCACTGCAAGGAATCCAGACCTGCCCTCACACAGCAGCGAACTGGTAGCTTTGCAAGCAGTGTCTCAGTGGCATCCTCATGGTAGGGACAATAAGCCCCGCTATGCTGGACACTAGGTAGACACACAAGGACACTGTCCTAAGAAAGTTGGTGGCCCTGGCATGCCCAGGCTCCAGAGAGGGGACAGCTGGCAGCAGATGCTCTACCCATCTGAATGCTCAATAGGCGTCTGCACTATACCAGGTATGAGGTAGGGTTGGACAGTCAGCCCTGAGCCATGTCCTTTCTGTGGAGTCTTGTGTGAAAGAAGGAATGTGCGCAGCCCGCTGTGACAGAAATGCAGCACAGGGAGAGTGCACAGCTTCTTACCATCAAAGAGCTGGAGGTGGGGTCAGAGGAGACACCAGGCTGCTGTCCGAATGGCCACTCTTCCTGCAGGAGCTCTAAGCTGAGCGCCCACTGCATCCTGGGAACAGCTGCAGGGAGAGCACACAGAGCCCTCAGGGCCATCCGCCCTGGGACACAGAGAACAGGTGCTGCCTAGAGACGGAGAAGCAGGTGAGACCTGACCCAAGACCATGAAAGAAAAAAAAGCGGGGAGGGGATTAATGAAATCAAATTTTTGTCAAAAGACAATGAAAAATAAAATATATCAGCCACACACTGACAAAATGTCTCCAGTACCTATATTTGACAAGAATAAACAATTGAAAAAAAAAAGAATAAACAATTGAAGAGAACTGTGGTTGGCATCTGTCTAGAATCCTAGCTACTCAGGAGGTTGAGGCAGAAGGAACCTGAGCTTCAGCCCAGAGTGGACAACAGAGTAAGGCCTTTTCTCAGAGAAACAGAGAGAAAGCTGCTGTAACAGTTAAAAAGAAAATAGGGAACTCTATTTTTTTATCTTGTGAGATGAGATCTTGCTCTGTACCTCAGGCTGGCCTTGAGTTTGCCCTGATCTTTCTGACTCAGCTTCCCAAGAGATGAGATTACAGTTGGCTCCATCACTCCCACTTCATAGTTTTAAAACAGGCAAGAGCATTGAATGACTACTTCACAAGAAACGATATGATAGCCAATAAACACATGAGAAGATATTCAGCATCATCAGTGAAATGGGAGTTAAGACCTATGACCTAAGGGAAATGCAAATAAAGCCTATAATCCAAAAAGCCCAGGGATTGAGAAATATAGCTCATGTGTGGACCACCTTCCTAGCTGTGGGGTGGGGATGAAGTCTCAGCTACTCAGGGTGCCTAGGCCAATTTCAAAGCCTGCCTGGGCAATTTAGATAAACTGTCTCAAAATAACTTTTATTTTTAAGGTACTGGGGACTGAACCTAGGGCCTTACCAAAGAACTTAAAAACAAACAAAGTAGAATCTCTTTAAATTGCTAGATTTCCCAGGTAGGACTTGAACGTGCAGTCCTGCCTAAATTTCTCAGAGTGCTGGAATTATAGTCATACACACATATATTCCTTACCCCTGGATCCAGCCATCCAGTTAGTATTTACCATGAAAAAAATCATATGTATGCAGAACATACAAGAATGTTCTTGGGCTGGGGAGATACCTCAGCGGTCTAAGTGCCTGCCTGGCAAGCACAAGGACCCAGGTTCAATCCCCAGTACGGCATACCATGCTGACTCAAACGCCGGGGGCACAGTGCCCACCTCTGAAACCAGGCATGGTGGCACATACACCTATAATCAGCACTGGGGAGGCTGAGACAGGAAGATCGTTATGAGTCTGAGCTGAAAAGCGAGACCCTGAAACAAATTTTTTAGATGTACTTAAAAAAAAAAGTGTTCATGGCAGCAGCATTTATAATGACCCAGAAGTAAAACAGCTTGAGTCCACTTACTAAATAAAGACTTGCACCCCGAGTGGCACAGCTGCTGGTGGTAGAGCCCTTATGTGTGGGCGCTTTAGGTCCATGAGGTGTGCCCTGAAGGGATTACTGTGTACTTGTCTCTGCCTCTTCCTTCCTGTTTGCTCCCTGGCCTTGAGATGAACAATTTCGCTTGGCTGGGGGAGTACACCATGATGTACTGCCCCAGCCAGTTTCAAAAGCAGGGGGTCAGACAGTCGCAGGCAGAACACTCTAAAACTGAGCCCAGAAATCTCTCAGGTGTTTGATAGAGTAACAGAAAACAGAATAACACAGAGAATAGTTTCAACAGTCGAATAAATAAGCCAGTTCTGGGATGTCCACACTAGGTACTGGCAAGCCATCAGGGACTGACACAGGACTTGCAGAATCCTGTTCAAAGCCATCACCTTATGCTTCTGCATGGGCATTCTGTGGAGCCAGGTATGGCGTCACAGTCCTGTAATTTCAGCATTCAGGAGGCCGAGGCAGAAGAATTGAAAGTTGACGTCCTTCCCGGACAATTTGGCAAGGTCCTATGTCAAAGTATAAAAAGGTCTGGGAATGTAGCTTAATGCAAAAGATCTGGGCTCAATTCCCAGTACTACAGTAAAGAAATAAAACAGGAAATGAAGATTGCAGGGGAACCCCCAACACTATAAAAAGCAAAACAAAGCAAACTCTAC